CCCCGCCTTGTTTGTCAAGTCATTGATGGCTGCCCTTCCCTGCTTCAACTTCAACAGCGCACCGATAAAACATCCCGCAATCTGTTGACCTTTCTCCCCTCCAACGATTCAGTAACAAAGATCCTTTGTCCTCCGCCCCCCGTTCCTTCCCCCCTTTCTGGATGAGATCCCTCCGCTGTTCTCCCGTCTGCTGTTCTCAGGGCAGGTTTTGCCACCTTTTCTGTATATTCGTTCATTCAAACACATACACCAAAATCATGCATGCGTTTGTATTAAAATAATTTTAAAGAGTTGAAGGCCTCCACGCCCCCCTCTTCCCCTTTTTGTGGTGCGGCCTCGCTTCCCCTGCGCAGACGGTGCGCGTGTGGAAAGGCAACGAGGACGCGACGGGATACGAGTGCCAGCACGTGCTCAAGGAGCACACTGCTGAGGTGCGCGCATGTGGGGGGGGGGGGGAGATTGGGAGGTGCGTGCAGCAATCTTGTGAATCGAGTTGACAGACTAGGTAGGAGTGTCTGTCAGCGCGTGCGCAAGGAACACACTGCTGAGGTGCGGTCAGACGGGTGAGGAAGAGAGGTAGGGAACAGGGGGAGGAGAAATGGGGTGGAGGCCAATGCACACGCGCACATGGGTCATGGTGAAAGGTTGAGGGTGGGGGTGTCACAAGCTGGGGACGAAGTGTGAGGGGCTGGGGATGGGGCGAGTGAGGGGCGAGGGGCTGGCAGGCAGGAGGGTGAGTGGGTGGGTGACTCAGGTCAACTGAGGGTTTTTCTATGCTATGTCTTTGCGTTTTCTTGTTTGTTTTTTTTCCCAGACTTTCTTCTTTCACCCATGCTCCCTGCTCCCCTTCCTCTCTTTGCTCTCTCTCCCTGCCTCTTTTCCCATCGCCCCGCTTCTTCCCGCCTCTCCCCCCCGCTCTCCCCCTCTGCGCCCATGCCCACCTGTGCCGAGCAGGTGCGGGCGGTGACAGTGCACGCGACCAAGAAGTACTTTGTATCCGCGTCAGCAGACAAGACGTGGGCCTTCTTCGACCTCACCACTGGCGCCTGCCTCACGCAAGTACGTGCCTCCTTTTCCCCTTCCTCGTGCCTCACTTGATTATGCGCTTGTGTCTCACTGAAGTACTTGCCTCACTCTAGCCTGTCACATCCAGCCCCCATTTTCTTGTGCAAGAACCCCCTTTTCCCCCTCACTCGCCCCTCTCATCCACCTGCCTCCATTCTCATTCCACACTTTTGTCCTCCCCTTGTCCCACCCGTCGACCACCCTTTTTCTCACCCTCGTCCCGCTTTTGCTCCCCCTCCCTCTTCCCCCCCCCCCTACTGTTTCCCCTCTTTCGTTCCTTCCCTCTCCCCTTGCAGGTGGCGGACGAGTCACTGGCGGAGGGGTACACGTCCGCGTCCTTTCACCCGGACGGGCTTATTCTCGGCACGGGCACTGCCGAGTCCCTCGTGCGCATCTGGGACGTCAAAACACAGGTGCGGGTGGGGGGGGGAGGGGGAGGGGGAGGAGAGGTGATGGGGGAGGGAACATGGGGGAATTAGTGGGGGTGGGAGGGGTGAAATTTGGGAGGCTGACAGGGGTCAGATCAGGTTGTATCCATTTTTCCGAGCCCAAATGCTTGCTCTTCGTGTCTCTTTGTACGTGTGTGTGCATGTGCATGTATGAGTACTTGCATGTGCGTTCTGGTGCCCTGTGTTTTAGCGCCATTTTGCGTGTCTGTGTGTGTATGTCTCTCTCCCTCCTCCCTCCCTCCCTCCCTCCATTCCTCTCTCTTCCACCCTCTCTCTCTCCCTCCTTATCTCCCTCTCACTCCATCAGGCCAATGTGGCCAAGTTCGAGGGCCATCACAGCCATCAGCTCTCACCCCTGCTTGTCTCTGTCTGCACGTCTCTCTCCCTCTCTGTCTCTTCCCATCTCTTCCTCCCCCGCTCCCACCTCGTTCTCACCATCAGGCCAATGTGGCCAAGTTCGAGGGCCATTCAGGGCCCATCACAGCCATCAGCTTCTCAGAAAACGGATACTTCCTTGCTGTAAGCCCCTGCCCCTCACCCCCATCCCATCTCCACCCTCCTCCTCACAGCGTAACTACTCGAAGCGTATTATTTCTTGTTTAGAGCTGTGGAACCAAATAAAACTTGATCACATAAAATACATGTTCACAGCCCATCCTCGAGTTTCCATCGCATCTGTAATCTGGATTTTTTCTTCTTGTCCTTCGCTGCTGGTCACTCCAGCTTTTTCCTTTGCTCTGCCCTTCCACTTTTCCTTTTTCCCTATATGCACCACACTACAAGCGGTGCCCTCTTTTTCCCACTGCTCATTCTTTCCCTACCCTCCTCCCCCCATTGTTCCCTCCCCCCACCTCCCACCACACATCAACCATCCCCCCCACTCTCCACTTTCCCATTCCCACTCCCCACTTTTTCATTCCCCCCACCCCTACTTTCCCATCCCCCCGCCCCCCCACTTTCCCATCCTCCATCGCCGCACACCCATCCTCTCCCATCCCCCATCCCCCAGACGGCGGCATCGGACGGGGTGAAGCTGTGGGATCTGCGCAAGCTCAAGAACTTCCGCACGTCCCATCCCACCCCTCCCTGCACATCCCACATTCTCTCCACTCTCCAATCCCTCTACCCCCATCCCGCCACCCCCATGCACGATTCCCAACCCTGATATACAGACGGCGGCGTCGGACGGGGTGAAGCTGTGGGATCTGCGCAAGCTCAAGAACTTCCGCACCTTTGCTCCATTCGAGGCCAACACGCCCACCAACAGCGGTATGAGCCTTGTGCACCGTGCGTGCGTGCTGCTGCTGCTGCTGCTGCTGCGGTGCTATTGCTGCTGTGTTGCTGCTGTTTTTCCTCTCACCTCCTGTCCTCCTTCCCTGCAGTCCAAGGGTGAGGCGCGTTTCAAAACTGCTCTTTCTTCCACTCCCTCCCCTCCTTCCCTCCCTTTCCTTCCCCTCCCTTTCCCCGCTCTCTCTCTCTCCGTCCCCGCAGTCCGGTTTGACTTCAGTGGGTCGTACCTTGCCATGGCTGGGTCAGATGTCAGGTACGCCATGGGTCCAAGGGCATCGCATATCACATAGCCTTCTAGCAACGCTCCAAGTTCTTGCATCGAAACCCACAGCATGGCATGGCATGGCAAACCATGGCATGACATGTATCAGTACCTGTGTCTGTGACGCGTCTCGTTCCTTAGTGGGGCCTCAATCCACCCATCCGCTCACCCTCACCCTCTCACTCTTCTCGGCCACAGGGTGATTCAAGTGGGCACGGTGAAGCAGGAGTGGAACTCCATAAAGACCATCCCCGACCTCTCAGGCACAGGTCAGTACCCGCCCATCTCCTTATGAGCTGCCCATCTCCCCACTCCCCTCTGAGGAGGGGTGGAGCAGGAGGGGGTTGGTTCAGTGCTCGCCCCTCCCCCCACTCCTCAGAGGTGACTTTTGAGTCGGCCAAAAAATCCCGACCTCTCAGGGAAAGGTCAGTACTCGCCCACCCATACCGACCCCTCCCTCCCCTCCCCCTCTCCCCCCTCCCCCTTTCGTGACAGTCCACCGGACACAAGTCATAGCTCACCCAACTCCCTTCCCCCGCCCTCCCGTCTGACCTTGTTCCCACCTGTCCTGCCCACCTCCTCTCCTCCCCACCCCTTAGTTCCCCTTCCTCCCCCGTCCCTCTCCTCCCCATCCCCCCCACAACCCCCTCCCCCCAACAGGCAAGGTGACGTGTGCGGAATTCGGCCCAGACGCTTCATACATTGCAGTGGCGGCCATGGACCGTAACCTGCGCATCTTTGGCCTCCAATTTCCCCCCTTTCTCTCCCTGCTGCCTCGGTGCCCTCTCCGCAATCCAACCCCGCTCCTCCGCACCCATTCTCCTCTCCCCACCCCAATTTCCTCCCCTTCTCCCCCGCACCTTCCCTGTCCTCTCCCCCCCCCCCCCCCCAACAGGCAAGGTGACGTGTGGGGAGTTTGGTCCCGATGCTTCATACATTGCAGTGGCTGCTATGGATCGCAACCTGCGCATCTTTGCCACCCTCCCCTCCCGCACTCTTTCCTTCCCCCCCCTCTCCCCCCACCTCCTACCCCCCTCCCCCCAACAGGCAAGGTGACGTGTGCGGAATTCGGCCCTGATGCTTCATACATTGCAGTGGCTGCCATGGACCGCAACCTGCGCATCTTTGGCCTCCCCTCCTCGCAACCCGCTGCTGCTGATGCTGACGCTGATGCTGCTGGTGCCGAGGAGAGCTAAGGAGTGGGGAAGGGTGGAGAGGAGTGGAGGGAGATGACAATGGGAAACACGGGAAGAGGGGGAAGAAGCGTGGAAAAGGGCTTGGTTTGAGAAGGGGGTGAAGGGGGGTTAAAAGGGGGGGGGGGGTGGAAGAAAGGGGGAGCGGAAAGAAGGGGTGGAGTGGAAGGAAGGGGGAGAGGAAGGTGAGGAAGGAATGGGAGTTGAACAAAGGTTGGTTTGTGCGCTGGCTCGCTCCTTCTATGTTCACTATTTTTCTGCGTTGTGCCTATTGCGTGGGGGGTGCCCTGTCTGAACCCTGTTGCAGCAGCAACAAGGTGCTAGTGACCGGGGATAGGTGTGGTGTGGTGTGGTGGAATGGAAAGGGCATGCAGTGGAGCAGAGTATGGTGGTGAGGTGCTACATGGGTTTTGAGTGGCTTGGATTGGAGTGGCATTGCGTGGCATTGTGTGGGTTGGCATTGTTGCGTCTTTGATTCTTTCACCCGATGTATTGGATTAGAACTTTCTTTCACTAATGCTGTAGGAATAATGTGGTACAGTGCCGTTCTGGACATTATAGTGATGTAACAAAACGCTGCTAAATCATACGTTCACAAGTATCGGTGACATCAGAATCTGGACAAGCAGAAATAACTCTGCACAATACACTACAATCCACTACAATAACTCTCAGTGTATGTGGTTAATACACTACAATGTGCCATTTCATTCTCCTACCATCACACTTGCATTGCCTGTGTCAACCCATCCGCATCTTTCTTGCCTTTCGGTGTCTCTTGTTGCTTGGTGGGCGGAAAGGCATGAAGCACAGCTGAGGGCGGTAAGGGCACGCGCACACACGAGCACACAAATGAACACACAAGCCCGGCACAAGGAGGCACAGTTGATTAGAAAGACCAGGGGCGATTGGTGGGGAGAGATCGAGGTATTCTGATGCAGGTGGGAAGGGAAGGCAGATGGAGAGAAAGATGTGACAGAGGATCATCATTGCCAGACACAGATGAGAGGAGGGATAATGGAAGCAGAGGACACATGGGAGCAGCGGCAGTCCTTATCACCATACACTGTGAATCTCAGCAAACCCCTTGAAGCACGTAAGGAAATGAGAAGGGTGCGTGGGTGGAGGAACAATCAGCAGAGCAGCAGACCTGATCACCGTTGGTGAGGCCGAGGTCAAGCACAGGAGTGGTGGGAGAGTGGCCTTTGAATCCACCCAAACTTTGAAGATACATGGGTGGTAGCAGAGCATCAGACCTGATCACCGTTGGTGAGGCCGAGGTCAAGTAGAGGAGTGGTGGGAGAGTGGAAAGTGAGAGGATGGCCGTCCAGTGCCAGGCATGCATGCGACCAGATGTAGCGCCTGGAGGGGGAGTGGAGCAGTGATGATGGGGAGATGAGCAGGCGGACAGGGGGGATGGGAATTGGGGAACCAATGGAGGCATAGCCACGCATAGACACGCACGCGCATGCACACATGCATCCCCTCCCAACCTATCCTTCCCCCCTCTTCCCACACACCTCCCGCTCTCCCCCTCACACACGCATGTATCCATGCGCGCATGTATGTATGCACGTCACCATGAGATGCCTCGGCTGTGTGATGGCTGTGTGTAGTCATATCCCTCTCTCAACACCCCTGCGCACGCTTCCTCCTCCTCCTGCTCCTCCTGCTCCTCCTGCTCCTGCTCCTGCTCTTCGTCCTCCTTCCCTTCCTCCTTCACTTCGCCCTCTTCCTCCAAAACTACTCTTCTCGTCCCTCTTCCTTCCTCCTCTCGCCCTCCACTCACAACCTCATCACCTTCCCTCATTAACTCACCCCTCCTATCGTTACTCTCTACCTGCTCTCCCCTCTCCCTTCTCTCCCTTCTCTCCCTTCTCTCCCTTCTCTCCCTTCTCTCCCTTCTCTCCCTTCTCTCCCACCTCTCCACCCTCTCCACCCTGTCCCACCTGTCCTCTTCCTCAACTCGTTCTAACATCTCCCTCCTTGCCTGCTTCTCTCGCCCCTCTCTCCTTCCCTCTCCGCCACCTCTCATCACACCACCATCTTCCTCACTCCTCACTCCCTCTCTCGTCCCTTCCCCAATACCCTCTCCATCCCCCCATCCACGCTTTCTCTTCTCCCTCAAATCCCCACCATCCAGCCCTACCTCCCTTCTTTCCCCTCCCTCCCTTCCCCCCCCTGCCTGCCCTCGCCCCCCCGCTCCGCCATCCGCGCGCCATCTCTCCGCGCGAATCCACCCTGCCTCCGCCTCTTCCCCCTGCGCCCATCTCCGCGCCTCTCTCTCAACCGCAACCTTCAGCTCGCCCACCGTCGCTGACCGCCGCACCACCACCGCTGCAGGGAGGCGGAGAAAGCAAAAATACTGTTCTTATGATCTTATGATTTCATTTGGAGTATTTTTGGGGGGGAAAGTCCTCTTATACTGTCAGAGTAACAGCATTTTCACTAGAGGGAACTCAGAAGTTGAAGGAAAAACGGAATGGAAAAAGAAGAAAAAAAAAAAAAAAAAAAAAAAAAAAAAAAAACAAAACGAAAAGGAAACCGTCTGTCTGCATGTCCCTCCTGCTCTCCCCTTTTTCCTTCCTTTCCCCTCACTCCACGCCACTATCCGCTCACCATACTCGCCGCCATCTAATCGCCTTACTCGCAGCCGCATCCCGCCGCCCGTTTCCGCCGCAATCAGCGTCTCTACCTCCTCCAGTGACACGTCAGCCGCCACGTCAGCGAGCAGCGGGTCTGCCAGTAGCGCCTGGAGCTCCTTCTGCGTTTCGAACCATTCGGCCGCGTCGCATGCAACGGTCGAGCGATCGCAGCGCCCTTGGCGCGGTCTCAGCATGCCGCGTTTTGCGAAGCGTGGCGAAATTCGGTAGGATAGTGCGCGCCAAGTGCCACCCACAGCGCGACTACTTGGAAGAGGCTAGCATTTCTGTTGTTTCGACATTCGAAGGGTGCGGGCATCGGCACGTGGTGAACTTGTAACGCGGATGGAGCCAGATTCGGTTGTGTCTATGTAAGCTGCAGAGTGTTCATATGTTTGACATTGTGGGGGTTGGAGAGTTCTGGCGAAATCCTCCACCGATCCAAATTAAACTGAAACCCATGTCACAGAGTATGTTTGCACACTTTATTTAATCGCATCTTTATATGTAAGTGTATAATTGAATTTTACAATCGCATATAATTGTAATAACCACACGTCAAAACACCAGCAATTAATTTATTTGCAATCGTCTGATTGATCACGAGTCAGGTCAGCAAAGAGGTCAAACAACAATACCACTGTCTACGTGAAAAGGAATCACTTCAGAGAGCACATTCAGGCTTGAGCATAGGCTAGTGATTAGTGAACGTGGTGCCTCTCTCGGGACCCAGGGTACGAGAGTGGCTGGCAGGCTGGTCTGTTTGATCACAAGTGAAAGAAATAGCGAGTCGTGACTCCATATAATCTCAGCGTGGTGTAGTACTGTAGAACACGCACACGGAATGAGCACACGGAGCGATAGATAGGAATTGTACGGCAGAAGGCAATAAGGCACCCTGGAAAAGAAATAATGGAGCAGCAGACGCCATCAAGGGAACGGTTAGCGCTGCGAAGAGAGGACGAACACGCCCCAGTCGCAGCACGACTCCTCTCGAATCTTGATCCCAGTAGCCTCTGGCAGACCAGCCAAGCTTGGTCCCAGTAGTTCTCTTTCCGCGTTCTTTTGCAACACCTCCGAAACCGGAACCCCGATTGAAGCGACCCCAAATCATGAACATCCCATCACAGCCCATCACAGCCTATCAGCTATTGACCGCCGTGTCGCTTCAGAACCTGGCCACCTTATCGGCTTTCACGATCGGATTCGCCTTCGCAATCGCCTCGCGCCCAGCTGTCTTGTAGTCAAACGAGCACGCGTGCTTGTCCGAGTACCTGTGAATCGCGCAGAACATATCTCCGCACCGGCACTTAAAGCCCGTCAGCCCCACCCGCCGTTTGCACGACATGCACCGAATCGCGCGACTGCCGCTACTACTGCTACTGCTACCGCCGCCGCAAGGAAGCGCAGGCGCGGCGACCGCCGCAGCAGCGGCGGCGGCGGAAGGAGCAGCAGACGAAGCCCGAGTGTCGATACTCGAGCGCGCAGGGTGCGTCTGCCCGCGTACGTCAATTTCCTCCTTTCTGGTCGCAAACGGATTCGCGGACGGCTCGACTGGCATGACGTGGGTTGCCCCTGGAAAACTCGTTCTCTGGACGTTCTCCGCGCCTCGGGAGCTCACGGGCGCGGCGATACCGCTTCCGCTTCCGCTCCCGCTTCCGCCGCCGCAGCCGCTGGTGGCGCCGCTTGGGCACGGGTCGGTGCGAAGAGCTACTGGCGACTGCGTGCGTTGAGCACTGGCGGAAGGGTTGGGGCTAGAAGAGGTTGCGGCTGCTGCTGTTGTTGTAGCGGTAGCAGCGGCGGCCTGCATTGTCTTGGCTACGTGCTCGCCGTAACACTGCGAGCACATATTGAGTGTCGCGGCGCTTCCGAAGAAACCGCAGTTGTTGGCACAGAGAATGTTCCGGTCGGATTGCTTGCAGCCAGCCGAACCCTGCTCCCGTTCCCAGCTCTCTTGAGCCATCTCGCGACACGGTAAGTCTAGTGCTGTGCGGTGTAAAACAGGCGTCAGAGTAGGGACGCGATGAACGTGGGATGGTTGCTAAGGGCAGGTGTTGGCCTCAGAATTGTGCGTGTAATCAAGGCTTGGAGGAAGAGTAGTGAAGCGAAGTTGCTAACAGAACGTACACTGATTGAGGTGAGCTGGAGGCTTCTTTGTAAAGGAAACTTGGACCTCTGTGTTTGTGTTGTGAACAGAGGGGGAATATAACAGCAAGAATAGTGGTAGTTGGTGGTGAGATGGTGGCGGGGCGGATCCTTCTCATCGAGGCAGCCGAGCAGGTCGGGTCGGCCCAGAGTGTACTGTAGTCGTTGGAGCTTGGAAGGGGTGTGACGCTTGTACTGCACGGATTGGCGGGCAGCACTGCTGCTGCAGCAAAGCGGCAGACCACCATGTACAGCACAATGCACTGTAGTCAGAACGAAGCCGGACCCCTGGGTTCGTGAATTGAACCGTTACAGTAATTTGTTGCATTTGCTGCCCGGCCAAACTCGAGGTTGACTGTCTTCACGTACGGAGTAGGTGAACAAAAGGACCCCCTCGCATTCACGAACCCTCGACAAAACTACAGAACCTCTGCGATTTGTGACTAGATTTCCAACTTGCGGCTTTTTTCCGTGGTGGTCGTATCGTGCTTTGATTCGAAGTTCATCGCTTTGTGTGATTTCCTTTCCAGCTTCCATCCGCACCACGCGACCCTTTTCTGGTCTGGGAATACCCCTACACATGTATTCGTTCTCTTTTCAGCATTGTAGGAATATATGTGTGTGCTTCAAAGTACATTTTGTGCAGGGCCTTTGGCGAGTCCGCAAAGTAAATCCTAGGCCTCTGGTGGGTCAAAGCTGCAAGGGTAAATCAGCGGGGCGGAGACTTTGTTCCAGTACGGTGTACAGAAAAGGGGGGACCCTCACAAGGAATCACCAACTGGGAGAAAGTTCCCCTCATCCGAGAAAACTTGTCTGTGGCGTGCGCACTGGCCCACATGCAAAATGTATACTGTGGCGGTGATTGGTAGTGGTTGTGGCCTACCAGCAGCTGCCATGCTGGCATGCTTTTGCTGTCTGATGTGACCTGGGCTTTTCTCTTTGGCTGAAAGCCACCGAGCAGAAGTGTTTTGTAATGAGTACATCGTGACCATGGCACAGTGGGCATCGCTGGCTCTATGTGCACAAGATGTGGGCTTTGCACACCACACATGGTCAGAGCTGGCTGCACAAGGGCATGGGTTGTCACAAATTGCAAACGCGTGGATACGACAACAACGACCACTCCACGGCAGATATTGGCATGTGATAAATGTTCTCTGAATGATGACATGGTTCTGGTACGAATCGTACGCGCTCTTGTGGCACAGAAGCATGCGAAAATGTTTGGACACATTACGACTTGGTATGATATGCAAGCAAAGTGTATTCGTCCATTAAACATGTTTTGGATGCCTAAAATGAAAAAAATTTCAATTTCATTACCCGATACATTTTTCAGATTCCAAAGAGTACGAATGCTTAATGTCCAACAAGGACACCAAACAATGTCATGAATTCGATTCTTTATACTGCACGTGACTTCAACATAAATAGCATTGTACATTGAACCTCGACAGCTCTTCTCCCGTCACTGTCTCGTCTGTACTCATTGCAAATCCATGAATGCACCGTTATATAAGGACGCATCTGTTAAAGAAGAGAGGAATGTGTGCACTAGGAAGGTTGGGAGTACAAGTACAAAACCCTAACAAACTGTACCCCCTATAACCAAACCCACTGTAGCCTACACAACTACAGCATATGATGTTTAACACACCCCCATAGGCAAAGTGGGGGAGAACAAGTAATCACAAGACCAGTCAAGCAAAGCAAGGTAAGCTCAGGGTGGATCACAATGTCACCACACATTCCGAGCATCGTTTCAAGGCCATAAGGCCAGTTCACATGTAGGATTATATATGAAGGTAAACAAACAAGAGCAGGTATATATATATATATCACAGTACAAGCAAGGTCAAGAAGTAAGCAAGTGAGGCAAAGCAGGCACAAGACCTAGCAACGTACAAAAGCGCTGATGATCACAAGGCTGAAGTGCCTTGGTGAAGATATCAGCAGTGTTGGCCTGAGAGGCCACGTAAGCAAGGCGCAGCTGACCACGCTGCTGCAGCTCACGAGCAAGGAAGTAACGAAGAGCAATGTGCTTCATTCTGTGCTCCAGTCTGTGCTCCCGACACAAGGCCAGCATGGCCTTGTTGTCTACGTACAGGACTGGAGGAGAACGAGGCGGCTCTCCAAGGTCAGTCAGCAGGTAGGTCAGCCAGCGTAACTCCTGAGCAGCCATGGCTCCCGCGTAGATCTCAGCCTCACAACTGGAGCTGAGAACAGAAGACGAGCGGGTGGACCGCCACGAAACAGAGCCGGAACCAAGGCTGAAGGTGTAACCCTGTGACGACCGCTGCGTAGCCAGGTCGTCGACCCAAGACGCGTCTGCGTGACCAGTGAGGACCACTCGACTCCGCCCTCCAAGCACGAGCCCCATGCCCGACGTACTGCACAAGTAGCGCAAAACCCTCTTCGCTGCAGCCATGTGCTCTGGTCGGTGTCTCCCAGGAGCAACATAGCGTGCCAGGATGCTAAGAGGGTAGGCCAGGTCAGGTCGAGTGCAGGTCATCAGGTACATGAGGCAGCCAACAAGCTCTGGGTACGGGCCACTCGGCTCTACGGACTCATCCGAAGGTAGAGCTGAGAGCGAGTGGCGAGTAGACAGAGGAGTGGCCTGAGGCGAGGAGTACGTGAAGTCGAAGCGCTGAAGGACCTGCCGCACCATGTGTGACTGAGTCAGGGTAATGGTGCAGCATGCTCTGTCCCGAGTGATCTGCAAGCCAAGATAGCTGCGCAGTTCACCCAGGTCTGTGCACGTGTGTCGCTTCTGCAGCTCGGACTTCACGTGGGCGAGTCCAGCAGTGTCAGCTGTAGCAAAGACCAAGTCGTCGACGTACAGGAGGATGTAGAACGGCGGCAAGGAGGTGTCGGTGCGTAGAAACAGCGACGGGTCAGCAGTAGAAGGAGCAAACCCAAGAGCCGCAAGCGTAGTCCTCAGTGTGTCGTGCCACTCACGCGGCGCCTGGCGGAGACCGTAGATTGGCCGCCGGAGGCTCCACTGGGTGCCAGGAGGAAACGTCCCAGTGAAGCCAGGTGGGCGGCGCAGCCAGATCTCCTCGTGCAGGCTGCCCTGTAAGAAGGCTGTGCTGAAGTCCAGAGAGTGAAGCTCGTAGTCACGGTGAGCGGCTATGTGTAGCAGCACCCGAAGAGTAGTCATCTTCGGGGTGGGAGAGAAGGTCTGAAAGTAGTCAACTCCCTGCCACTGACTGAAGCCTCGAGCCACGTAATGCGCCTTGAAGACAGGCGGAGAACCTGGCGGCCGCTTTACCCTGAAAATCCACATGCCACTGACGATGTTCGCCCCAGGTGGGGGAACCTCGTCAATGTAGGTGCCTGTGGACTTCCAAGAAGCCATCTCTGCGTCCATGGCTGCCTGCCACTGAGAGGAGTAGGGACCCTCTATCGCCTCCGCGTAAGATCGCGGAGTCGGGATGTCTAGTGCATCCGGGTCTCCCTCAGGGGCAAGCAGCGAGGACACAAGATGAGGTAAAGCAGCAGCAAGACACTGGAACTCCTCCTGCCTGTCCTCAAGGACGTCCGTGCTAAGAGCACACTCACCCCCGACGGACGGAGGACAGACAGACTCAGACCCAGCAACAAGACTAGCGGCGTAGTCGAGACGACAGGCAGCAGCAAAGTCGACAAGCTCAGCGACTAAGGCAGACGCAGCAGTAGACTCAAACGACGGGTCAGTGACAACAGTGGCTAACAGACGCGTGACAGTGGGGTGCTCAGCGCGAAACCGGTCAGACTCAGGGTCCGGAACGACAGGCAGAGAGGACGCAGGTGGGGAAGGCAGAGGAGCAGACTGCGGAGCAGAGGAAGGACGACGGACAACAAGGTGTGCGCTGGGGACAGCCGGCTGACGCGCACGAGCGACACGACGACCGGTACGACCAGGACGAACAGGCGAGACAGGACGCGACGCAGGCTCACGACGCTCAGCAAGACTACCTGTCTGCTCAGTGTAAGGAGAAGGAGCAGGCAGCGGTGAGCCAGACTGTAACGGAAGACCAGTGGACGACGGGAGAGTAAGAACCTGACGAAGAAGAGAGTCAGGCGGCGGCAGCGACGACGGAGACGGCGGAGCGAAGAACAGTCGTGTCGGCGCAGCTGTACCAGCTCCGGCAGCTCCAGCAGCTCCAGCAGCGCCAGCACCTCCAGCAGCGCCAGCGCCTCCAGCAGCTCCAGAAGCTCCAGCCTCAGAACCGGTACCTCCAGCGCCAGCAGCTCCAGAACCAGCGTCACCAGCAGCCGCACCCCCAGAACCGGCACCTGCAGTCCCAGGGTCTCCAACCGCAGTGTCTCCCGCAGCAGCACCCCCAGAACCAGCACCTCCAGTCCCAGGGTCTCCAGCCGCAGCGTCTCCCGCAGCAGCACCCCCAGAACCAGCACCTCCAGTCCCAGGGCCTCCAACTGCAACGTCTCCCGCAGCAGCACCCCCAGACGCAGCACCCCCAGCCCCAGCAGCTCCAGTACCTCGAGCAGCAGAGTCCCGGGCTCCAGCAGCGCGACGCTGACGGCGACCGTACCAGTCGTGCAGCTGCTGAGTGGTGAGAGGCACACGCGGACGAAGGCGGCCACTCCAAGTAGGCCGCGCACCAGCAGTCCCAGTGCCCTCAAGCGTCTCACCTCCAGACTCAGCACCCCCAGACTCCGCACACACACGCTCAGCACCCACAGACACAGCACCCCCAGGCGCAGAACGTCCAGTCTCCTCACGCGCTGGCTCAGCACCCCCAGACTCCGCACCCCCAGACGCAGCACCTCCAGGAGCACCACCCCCAGCAGCACCAGAGTCAACAGTAACCGGCTGCAGAGGCGGTGAAGAAGGTCGCGGGGGGAACCCCGGAGGGGTCTCCAAGCGTGGTGCACGGCGGTAGGCCGACGGGGCGCCAGCAGCAGCGTCACCCCCCTCGGGTGGGCCAGAGGTGTCGGAAGTGACCTCCAAAGGCTCAGCCAAGGGGGGGGGGTCTACCTGAGACACACCTGAAGGAGCAGGACCCTGAGGGGGGAGGGGGTCTACCGGAGGGGGACCTGGCGTAAGGAAGAGCGGCGGGGGGGGGAGCGGGGCAGTGCGGTAGGGGAAGAGACGGTAGTACGGAACCGACTCGTCAAACGTGACGTCCTGGGAGGACAGAACACGGCGCGAGGTGGGGTGGTAAAACTGCCAACCAGGCGCGTCAGGGGGGAAGCCAAGGAAGACGCAGGGAACAGCACGGGAGGACATCTTGTCCGCAGACAAGTCTCGGACAAAAGCCCGAGATCCCCAGACACGGAACGCAGACGCATCGCCAACCTTCCCCGTCCACAGCAGAGTGGGGGAGGTCCCCGGCATGGAGACCCGGGGCTGAAGGTTGATCTGACGCGCCGCGTACTGAACCGCAAACGGCCACAGAAAATGGGGAGCAGCCGCATGGATCATGGACGTACGAGCGACGTCCATGACCATGCCAATGCGGCGCTCAGCAATCCCATTTTGCTGTGGAGAGGCCGGAAGCATGAACGTCTGGCGGATGCCCCTCGCACGACAGAAGGCTCGCAGAGGGCCGGAGGAAAACTCCCCACCTCTGTCGGAGTGCAGACGCAAAACAGGAAAGTCAGAGCCGAAACTCTTCCTGAGCTGGAGACGAGCAGCGCGGATCCAGTCGATCAACACCTCAGTGACCTCATCCTTGCGGCGCAAGGGGAAGACTGTGGTGTAACGCGAGTAGTCGTCAACCACCAGCAGGAAGTAACGCTCATGACCCTGTCCACGGACGCGGGCTGGGCCCCACACGTCCATGTGAAGAGTCTGCAGCGGAGCCTCTGTCGGCGGAAACTCGGAGGAGTGAGGAGCGGCGCGCTGTCGCCCCTCGACGCAGGGGACACAGGTAGGGGCAGGCCCCGGGGGGAGGGGAGGGAGCGACCGGGGAAGACCAGAGACCAGGACACGAGAGGCCATGCCTCGGAGACGAGGCAGGGAGGGGTGACCAAGACGGTGGTGCCAGAGAAGAGTCTCGTGGGACAGGAGGCGACACGAGCAGGGGGCAGACTCAGGACCAGACCGAGACGCCGCAGCAAACACCTGACTCGATGCAGCTACCTGACCAGGCACAGCAACCGGAGGAGACTCGGTAGTGAGGGTGTACAGGCTCGACCCCGGCCGACGGGTAAACGTGGCCAAGTGTCGGCCCGTGTCCGCACACGTGCAGTGGGTCACCCGCTGACGCGCAGGGGTGAACTGGTCAACCCCCCCATCCTGTAGGTCAGCACCCGCCACCAAGTTCGTAGAGAATGAGGGGAGGTAAAGACCCGACAGGGAGCCAGACGGGACCGCCGGACACGGTAGTACAGTGGAGTAGTGGGCAAGAACAGGACCCCCAGAGGGGTCTGCCAGGGAGACCGCAACCGGCCGACTGAGCGGCGTAAGAGTGGTGCGGTCTCGAAAGAAGGAGCGGGAAGCACCCGAGTCAAGGGTGAAAGTGTGCGACGCCGGAGCAGACGTGGTACCTGAGAGAGCAGACTCACCAGCACCTGGAGTAGCAGACTCACTAGCACCTGGAGTAGCAGACTCACTAGCACCTGGAGCAGCAGACTCACTAGCACCTAGAGCAGTAGCTGCACCGCCCGGGTCGGGCGGAGCACTCAGGGAACAGTCACCGACATCACTAGTAGACAATGCATACATGGCAGTGAGGATAGCATCAAAGTCAAGAGCATAGATATCTACCCTCCGCCGGCGCAGCTCCACCCAGTCGGGGAGCTCAGCCGCGTCGCCAAACTCCGTACGCCAGGCGTCGCTCAGACTGGCGAAGCAGCGGGACTCTGTGTGACCAAACGTCCCGCAAGGCTGGCCAGTCCGAGCACCAGTGCGAATGACATATGTGCAGCGAGCAGAACCCCGTGACCCCCCCCGCTGAAAGTACCACTCATGAAGCTGCGGGGGCGAAGGGACCGCGCGCACACGACGCTGCAGCTGCGCCGGGCCACTACAAGAAGCCCCGAAACTACTCACGCCAGAACGACTCCCACGACGGCCACCCCGACAACCCCAGCGAGCGTACCACTCATGAAGCTGTGGGGGCGTGAGGGACTCACGCGGACGGCGCTGGAGCTGCATCTGGCCACGCCAGGAGCAGCAGGAGCAGTAGAGAGGGGAGGAGCCGTAGGGGCAGCACGAACAGTAGTAGCAGCAGTAGCAGCAGTAGCAGCAAGAGCAGCAGTAGCAGCACTAGCAGCAGTAGGAGTAGAAAGAGCAGTAGCAGCAGGAGCAGCAGTAACAGCAGTACGGGCAGGACAGTGCTCACCAGTGGCAAGAAAGTTAGGCGTACGACGGCTGCAACGGCAGGGCCGGCACCACTGCAGGGCGAGGGCTCCGCGGCAGCTGCAGGGGCCAGCTGCTCCAGGGGCGGCTGCTTCAGGGGCCAGGGGCGGCTGCTGCAGAGGCGGCTGCTCCAGGGGCCAAGGGCGGCTGCTGCAGGGGCGGCTGCTCCAGGGGCCAGGGGCGGCTGCTCCAGGGGCCAGGGGCGGCTGGGCCAGGGGCTAGTGGCGGCTGCTGCAGGGGCGGCTGCTCCAGGGGCCAGGGGCGGCTGCTCCAGGGGCCAGGGGCGGCTGCTGCAGGGGCGGCTGCTCCAGGGGCCAGGGGCGGCTGCTGCAGGGGCGGCTGCTCCAGGGGCCAGGGGCGGCTGCTGCAGGGGCGGCTGCTCCAGGGGCCAGGGGCGGCTGCTGCAGGGGCGGCTGGGCCAGGGGCTAGGGGCGGCTGCTGCAGGGGCGGCTGCTCCAGGGGCCAGGGGCGGCTGCTGCAGGGGCGGCTGCTCCAGGGGCCAGGGGCGGCTGCTGCAGGGGCGGCTGCTCCAGGGGCCAGGGGCGGCTGCTGCAGGGGCGGCTGCTCCAGGGGCCAGGGGCGGCTGCTGCAGGGGCGGCTGCTGCAGGGGCGGCTGCTGCAGTGGCCTGGGACGGCTGCTGCAGGTGCGGCTACTGCAGGGGACTGGGGCGGCTGCTGCAGGGGCGGCTGTTCCAGCGGCGGCTGCTGCAGGGCTGCGAAAGAGCGGGTAAGGGGCCGCGACGGGCGGGTAAGGGGCCGCGACGGGCGGGTAAGGGGCCGCGGGCGGCTAAGGGGCCGCGACGGGCGGCTAAGGGGCCGCGACGGGCGGCTAAGGGGCCGCGACGGGCGGCTAAGGGGCCGCGGCCGGCTAAGGGGCCGCGACGGGCGGCTAAGGGGCCGCGGCCGGCTAAGGGGCCGCGACGGGCGGCTAAGGGGCCGCGACGGGTTAGGGAGGGGCCGCGACGGGCGGCTAAGGGGCCGCGACGGGCTAGGGAGGGGCCGCGACGGGCGGCTAAGGGGCCGCGACGGGCGGGTAAGGGGCCGCGACGGGCGGGTAAGGGGCCGCGGGCGGCTAAGGGGCCGCGACGGGCGGCTAAGGGGCCGCGACGGGCGGCTAAGGGGCCGCGACGGGCTAGGGAGGGGCCGCGACGGGCGGCTAAGGGGCCGCGACGGGCGGCTAAGGGGCCGTAAATTTCGGGCAGGCCGGAAATGTGCTTCGGGCAGCTAAAAAAAAGTTATTGAAGGTGGGCCCTAGGAAGAGATGGTCCCACTAGGGAACCTGCTCTATACCATGTGAAAGAAGAGAGGAATGTGTGCACTAGGAAGGTTGGGAGTACAAGTACAAAACCCTAACAAACTGTACCCCCTATAACCAAACCCACTGTAGCCTACACAACTACAGCATATGATGTTTAACAGCATCAACACATACCATAATCTGTCAAATGTTCTAGCCATTAGTGGGTTGTGCAATAGGGGGTACAAACAGTTAGGGTTTGAATATGTACCCCAATCTGTCTAATGCAACTCATTCCGCTGTAGCCACATTCTGAGATGGTATCAGTTAGGTTCCTCGCTCCTAGGCCCTAGGTTAGTCTACGTTCCTTCTCTACCTCGCCGGACACGCCAGCGCTCTAGCGCGCTCCGCCCTCAGCCACCAGCCAGCCAGCCAGCCCTCCCCCCCCCTCCCCCCCCCCCCCCCTAACGCGCCACGCCGCCGGTCGACCTGTAGTGCGGCCCGTCCCCTTGCCACCCGCCCTCAGGCCTGCGCGTCGCGCTGCCCGTAGGCCCGCCCGTAGGCCCGCGCGTCGCGTTGCCCGTAGGCCCGTCCGTCGCCTAGCCCGCCAGTCGGGCCGCCCGTCGCCTAGCCCGCCCGTCGGGCCGCCCGTCGCCTAGCCCGCCCGTCGGGCCGCCCGTCGCCTAGCCCGCCCGTCAGGCCGCCCGTCGCCTAGTCCGCCCGTCGGCCCGCCCGTCGCCTCGCCGCGCAGCCCGCCCGTCGACCCGCCGCGCCGCCCGTAGGCCCACGCGCTGCGTCGCCCGCCCGTCGACCAGCTGCGCAGCCCGCCCGCGACCCGCCGCGCCGCCCGCCACCTAGTACGCCGCCCCGCACGCCCCATAGCGCGCCGCGCCGCCCACCAGCCAGCGCACTGCACCGCCCACCAGCCAGTGCACTGCGCCCCCCTCACCTACCTACCTGCATGCCTCCCCGCCTGCCCACAAGTTACTGATTGTCTCCCCCCCTCCCGCGGCTGGTAGCCGCGCTCTCTCAGTTTTGCCCCCTATGGCGACCTCCCGAGTACTTCGTTTTGACCCTGAGGGGAGACCCATTGATTTTCGTACGTGGCTTACGCAGGCGCAGCGCCACTTTAAAACCCAGCGGCAAGATGGCGTGCACCTGTTCGCACACGCGTCCGGTACTCAGACCGCCCCTCTGCAGCCTCGGCCGCTGCCCACTACCCCACCGCCTACTTCTGAGCAGGAGGCCGACTACCAGCGCCAGCTCCTCGCTCGTGACGTGTGGGAGTCTCGTGACGCCGCTGCCTGCCTCGCCCTGACCGACCTTCTCCCGCCGACAGAGGCAGTCCACTTCGCTCAGGTCGAGTCTGCTGCAGATCTATATAAGGCTATTGTTGCTCGCTACTCCACTCCCTCCTCTGCTTCACTCAGTCGCCTCCTCGTACCCTTTATTTACCCTGACCTCGCCTCCTTTGAGACTGTCTCTGACCTCGCTACCCACCTGCGCTCCCTTGACGCTCGCTTTCGCGCTGCTTGCACTGAGGACCAGCTTGCCCTTGCCCCGCCCCCTATGTGGCTCACTATTCACTGGCTAGTCACTCGCCTCCCTGACCGCCTAGCCACAGCCCGCGACGCGCTTCTTCTGACGCACCCTACTGAGCTTACCATCGATATTCTTGAGACCGCTCTCTCGAAGATCGAGAGTAACCTTTTCACTGTTGCCTCTGCCTCTTCCACGCCTCCTCCTCGTCTTTTTGAGGGGTGTGCGGTACCACAGCTTCCCACCTTCACTGCCTCACTTGCCACCCCCACGTCTTCTGCCTCTGAGGAGACGGCGGCTGTTTCTGTCTCTGGCGGACAGAAACGTGGCAAGGCCAGCAAGAAGGGCGGGAAGGGCGGCGGGGGTACTGGGGGTGGTGCGGGTAGTGGCGGCGGCGGTGGGGCAGGTGGTGGTAGTGGTGGTGGGGGTGGCTCGGGCCCTGACGGCCCTTCTCACGACGGTGGAGTTTTCACTGGTGGTGAGGGGTTCCAGCAGCAGCAGCAGCAGCCGACTTCTCAGCAGCTGCCACCGCCTGGACAGCAGCAGCGGCAGGGACAGCAGCAGCAGCGACAGGGCCAGCAGCAGCGCCTACCGCAGCAGCAGCCTCAGCAGTGGGGCCCTCCGCAGCAGTGGGGCCCTCAGCAGCAGTGGAGGTCTGCGGGTCCCCCGAGCACTGGGCGCAGTGGCCCCCCCTCCAGTCGGGGACCTCGCTCGACCGGACACGACGTTGGTCCCTGTGAGTACTGGATCCTTACGGGTCCTCGTAGGGACTCGTACTGTGGCCGCCCCAAACACTCTGCTGCACGCTGCTTCAGTCGTCTCGACGACCTCTACCGCTTGCACCACGGCCCCTCCGCTTTCCCGCCACCACGCTGGGGGACGCTTCTTGCTCGTGGTATTGCTGTTTTTGATATGACTATGGATGATGCTAGGTCTTATGCCATGTATGCTGATGTTGACTATAGTGCTCCTGGATCCGTGTACTTGCCTGTATCTAGCTTAGGATATTTGCCTGTTGCTAGGGTAGGTGCTAGTGTAGGATCTTGTTTAGCTACTAGTACAGGTACTCCCTCGGCGGACGCGTCTCTCTCCTTCACACTGGACTCAGGAGCGACGCAGTGCTTCTTCCGCGACCGCACGACTCTCTCTCCACTCCCGGCACCGGTCTCTATAGCACTGGCCAATCCCACTTTGGGACCGGTCATTGCCACTTACGCGCCCGGCCCGGCTGCCCCTTCCGGTTCCCTGACTGGCCTCCACGTTCCTACGTTCTCTAGGAACCTGGTTGGTGTGGGCCCCCTGGCCAGGCAGCACGTCGGGGTCTCGGTTGAGCCTTCTGGTGACACCGCGGTCTGTGTGGACGGTGACACGTACGCCCCCTTGGCCACTTTTCGCCAGGAGCCGGGCTCCGGTCTCTACACCCTCCACACCGACCCTCGTCAGGTTCCTCCGTCCCACCAGGTCGCCAGGTCCAGTCAGGTTGCTGTGTCCGGTCTAGTTGCTGCGTCTGGTCAGGTCCCCACGTCAGGTCCAGTTGCTGCGTCGTGCTCCTGCCGGTCGCTTGCTCACCCCACCGTTCTGTGGCACCACCGGATGGGGCACCCGTCCCTCCCTCGTCTCCGCGCTATGTCCAGTCAGCGTCTTGTCTTAGGCCTCCCCCGAGTCCTCCCGCCACTCCCGCCGTCCCCAGCTCCTCCGTGCGGTCCTTGTGTCCAGGGTCGGCTGCGCGCCACCCCTCACTCCTCCTCCCTTCGTCCGGCCACCGAGCCCTTTGAGACTCTCCACTTGGACGTCTGGGGCCCCGCCTCTCGCCTTGGCCCTGAGCGGGAGAGTTTCTTTCTGGTGGTCGTTGACGACTACTCTCGGTACACCACCGTGTTCCCTTTGGCGAAGAAGTCCGACGTGACTTCTACGCTGATCCGGTGGCTCCTCGCCACCGAGGGCACTCGTGGTCGTCGTGTCAGTTGTCTCCACTCCGACCGTGGGGGTGAGTTTCGCTCCGGCATTCTCGCTAGATTCTGTGCTGAGCAGGGCATCACCCAGTCCTGGACTCTGCCAGAGTCCCAGCCACTAACCACTGGGATAAAAGGGCTTGTTTGTGTAGCGGGTGAGTGCGCCTATAACCCCCCAGGCCGACGTGCCTGTAACCCTTCCCTAGGATCATCGGGGATCTCCAGTGGACCTCTGACACCCCCCCGCACTGGGATGCCCGAGGTGCACACACCGGGATTCGAACCCGAGACCTTCGCTCTGATACCATGTCAGAATTCCAGCCACTAACCACTGGGATAAAAGGGCTTGTTTGTGTAGCGGGTGAGTGCGCCCATAACCCCCCAGGCCGACGTGCCTGTAACCCTTCCCTAGGATCATCGGGGATCTCCAGTGGACCTCTGACAGACTCTTCCAGACTCTCCACAACAGAATGGGGTTGCTGAGCGCCGCTTAGGCCTGGTCATGGAGATCGCCCGCACCTCCATGATCCACGCCCGCGCGCCCCATTTTCTGTGGCCCTACGCGGCTCGGTACGCCGCTCACCAGCTGAACCTCTGGCCTCGCGTCTCTCGGCCAGGGGCTTCACCGACCAGTCTTTGGACAGGGTCCCCTGGTGTTGCGTCGAGGTTTAGTGTCTGGGGCTGCTTGGCTCTTGTCCGCGACACCTCTGCGGACAAGATCTCACCTCGCGCCGTCCCCTGTGTCTTCCTTGGTTTCCCAGAGGACTCCTCTGACTTCACATTTTACCACCCTCCCTCCCACCGGTTCTTTGACTCTCGTGACGTCCGTTTTGACGAGTCCGTCCCCTACTACGTCCGGTACCCCTGTCGAGGTCTCCCGGTTCCCCCCCCTCCCCTCTTCCTAACTCCAGCTCCTAGTCCTCCTGCCCCTGCTCCTCCGGTACCCCCCCCTGTTCCCGCTCCGTCTGGTGTGTCCCACGCTACTCCCCCCCCCTCGGTACCCCCCCAGGTCTCTCCTCCTTCCCCACAGTCGTCCTCACAGCCTCCGCAGCAGCCGTCAGCGCTTCCTTTACCGGCCACTGCGGACTCTGAGGGTGTTGGTGCTCGAGGTGAGGGCTCTGGCGGTGCTCGCTCTGGGGGTGCTGGCGTTGGAGCTGAGAGTGCACCTGTCGCACCTGCCCGTTCCGAGGGTGCTGGAGCTGGTGGTGTTTCTGGAGCTGGAGAGTCTGGGGCTGGTGCTGGTGCCACTGGAGGTGCCACGACTGGGGGTGCGGCTACACCTCCTACAGGTTCTGCTCGTGCTGCCGCGGGAGGTACTCGCTCTGGGGGTGCTCAGCCGGGTACTGTCGAGGACGGCGCCGGTTCTTCTACTGCGCCTCCTACCACCACTCCTCCTCCTCACCCCTACCCGACTCGTTACCAGGCCCTTCTTCGTCTAGAGCGTGAGGAGCAGCAGCGTTTGGAGCATGAGAGGTCGGAGGTTCAGCAGCGGGTGGAGCGTAAGCGTTTGGAGTTGCAGCAGCAGCAGCAGCAGCAGCAGCAGCAGCAGCAGCAGCTGCAGCCGCAGCAGCAGCAGCAGCAGCAGCAGCAGCAGCAGCAGAAGCAGCAGCAGCAGCAGCAGCAGCAGCAGCAGCAGCAGCAGCAGCAGCAGCAGCAGCAGCAGCAGCAGCAGCAGCAGCAGCAGCAGCAGCAGCAGCAGCAGCAGCAGCAGCAGCAGCAGCAGCAGCAGCAGCAGCAGCAGCAGCAGCAGCAGCAGCAGCAGCAGCAGCAGCAGAAGAAGCAACAGTAGCAGCAGCCGGAGCAGCTTCCGGCCCCTGTTTCTGGCCTTCAGGCCCTTGGTCTCCCCTCCTCTCCTCCTGTGTTCGGTCCTACGTTTCCTCCTCCGGACTCCACTCCGGCTGTCTTCCCTCGTTCTCAGTCTCCTCCGTCCCCCCCTCCTCTCGCCCACACTTGGGCCTCTCGTCCTCCTCGTGCTCGTCCCTCGTCCCCTGTCACTGACCTCCGTACCGTGTTGTTTCGTCCTAGTCCTCCTCGTTCTCCTCCGTCTGTCCTTCCTCGTCCTCCTGAGTCGTCCCTCACTGCCTCCCTGTCCACTCCGGTCACTGACTACTACCGCGCGTACCGCCCCACTCTCTCTCTCGTGTTCTCGCCTCTCTTGTTACAGACCCTCGTGCCTCTCCTTCCTCCGTCGCGGTCCTCACTGCCGCTGTCACTGACTTTACTGCTACGCGTCGCCTTGACTACGCCACTCGTGTTGTGGCCGCTCCTCCTGTCCGTCCTCTGTCCGCCGGGGGTGAGTCTGCCCTTGGCTGTGACGTCCTAGAGGACAGACAGTTTGAGCTAGACTACCTGGCAGTTGCTTTGCCTCATCTCTGTGCCATGCTCCTCGCTCCTGAGGGAGACCCCGACGCTCCTGACATACCTACTCCTCGCACTTACGCTGAGGCAGTGTCAGGGCCGTGGGCCTCTCAGTGGAGAGCTGCCATGGACGCAGAGATGGCCTCCTACAGGTCCACAGGCACTTACGTTGACGAGGTTCCCCCCCCAGGGGCGAACATCGTTGACGGCATGTGGATCTTCAAGGTGAAGCGGCCACCGGGATCTCCCCCAGTCTTCAAGGCACGCTACGTGGCTAGAGGGTTCAGTCAGCGTGAGGGAGTTGACTTCTTTCAGACCTTCGCGCCCACCCCGAAGATGACCACTCTTCGGGTGTTACTGCACGTAGCAGCGCAGAGAGACTACGAGCTTCACTCTCTTGACTTCTCTCTTCCTTCAGGGCCGCCTATACGAGGAGATCTGGCTGCGTCGTCCTCCGGGCTTCACTGGTGCTTTCCCGCCTGGGACCCAGTGGAGCCTGAGACGACCGGTCTACGGTCTCCGCCAGGCACCCCGTGAGTGGCACGACACTCTCCGCTCTACTCTCTCCGACCTCGGGTTTGAGCCGTCTTCCGCCGACCCGTCGCTGTTTGTTCGTCGTGGGCGCACACCTTTCTTCGTTCTGGTCTACGTTGACGACTTGGTTTTTGCCACAGCCGACACAGTTGCACTGGCGGAGGTGAAGTCCGAACTGCAGAAGAGACACACCTGCACTGACCTTGGGGAACTGCGCCGCTACCTTGGCCTGCAGATCTCCAGGGACAGAGCCGCTCGCACCATCACTCTGACTCAGTCACACATGGTGCAGCAGGTCCTTCAGCGGTTCGAGCTTCACCACTCTTCTCCTGCACCCACTCCTCTTGCTGTAGACCACAGACTCACTGGGCCTTTTCCTGACAAGCTGTTCGAGCCCAATGGTCCCTACGCAGAGCTGGTGGGCTGCCTCATGTACCTGATGACGTGTACTCGCCCGGACCTCGCCTTCCCTCTTAGCATCCTTTCTCGCTTTGTTGCGACTGGGAGACACCGTCCTGTTCACTGGGCGGCGGCTAAGAGGGTGGCGAAGTACCTCGGCGCGACATCAGACATGGGGCTTGTACTTGGAGGGACACAGCCAGTTGTACTCACCGGTCACTGCGACTCCTCCTACGCCGACGACGTTGAGACTCAGAGGTCTACGCAGGGTTACTGTTTCAGCCTGGGCTCTGGAGCTGTTTCGTGGAGGTCTACTCGGTCCTCCTCTGTTGCGACTTCTACCGCAGAGGCCGAGATCTACGCTGGAGCTGTTGCTGCTCAGGAGCTACGCTGGTTGACCTTTTTGCTCACTGACCTTGGTGAGCGGCCGAGCTCTGCACCGACCTTGTTTGCTGACAACAAGGCGATGATTCTCCTGTGTCGTGAGCCGCGACTGGAGAGCAGAGTGAAGCACATCGACGTCAGGTACTTCCTCCTTCGAGAGTTGCAGAGACGCGGGCAGGCTCGTCTGGACTTCGTGGCCTCCGAGGCCAACACTGCAGACATCTTCACCAAGGCTCTTCAGCCTTGTGACCACCGCCGGTTCTGTCTGCAGTTGGGCCTCGTTGAGACTGGGTCGAGTAGACTGCAGTAGTGAGTGTTTGTTTCTTGTCTTTGCTTGTACTATATATATTTGCATATACACTCTTGAACTGGCCTTGTGGCCGCTGTTTGCGCTCAGACTGTGTGGTGACGTTGTGATCCACCCTGAGCTTTGTTTTGTCTCTTGTTTATGACTGGTCTTATGACCTTAGGTTGTTTGTTGTTACTTTGCACTCCCCACTTAGGCTATGGGGGTGTGTCAAATGTTCTAGCCATCAGTGGGTTGTGCAATAGGGGGTACAAACAGTTAGGGTTTGAATATGTACCCCAATCTGTCTAATGCAACTCATTCCGCTGTAGCCACATTTTGAGATAATCACCCGGATATAAGACCCCCCCCCCCCCCCCCCCCCCCCCCCCTCCCAATTGTAGACCCCCGGGTATATAATACGGACGTGGGTCTTATATTTGGGTATACTTTTTTATACCCCCTATTAGACTGAAAACATCATAAGACCCCCCACCTTTACATTGAGCGTGTGATTTTATAATAAAAAGGAGTCGCTTTGCGAAGGAGAACATAAGTTTTCCCCTTCCGATGAAGTCACGTGGGCATTGCACCGTCAATGTTGTGCATTTTTTTTTTCTTTCTCGCCATTACCAAGCTCTTGAATAAAAAGCTTGACCAGATGCGAGCGTGATGCCACCTGGGAAAATCCTGGCGATGGGATCCTCGTGGCCGTTCTTCGAGTTTCATTCGACTTGATTGGCCGTGTGGTTGTCCAATCAGAAAGCAATAAGTGGATTTCTTATTGGTGAACCATCGTTACACAAACATCCTCGGCGTGCCCCTTTTTCGAAATCAAAAAACGAATCAAACACCAACGTGATCTTTGCATTCAATACAAGTATAAAAAACATGTTCATTTGTAAAGACCCGGGTCTTATATTATCATTACCATATGAGTAGACCCCCCACCATTTTTCCCTGTAGTTTTCATAAGACACTAGGGTCTTATATCCGGGTTTTTACGGTGCCTCATTTATATAAGCTTCCATTTGCATGTTGTGTATTGAGTTACCCTTTCTGTTGGTGGTGGTGCCTCACATCTTCTCGCTTGTCCCTTTCTCCCTATTAAAGTCTCTCTTCCATTTCGACATTCCCTTGCACCTCATAAAACATGATTTACAGCTAATTTGTTTCACGACATGGTATCGGAGCTCGGTCCTTCCCGGGACCCCCTTTTTAAAAATCATTTAACTACTTCTATATGCAGCACGGCACCTTTGTCGCGTCCCCCATTGCTGAACCCGTCGTGACGCTGCACACGGCCATAATCACACTCACCGCCTACTCCTGTTACACCTCCCCAACTTGCCCCCGTCACGACCCCCTTGTTACGCATGTTGCGGCCCCCGTCGAAGTTGGCGGTCGTCACGTCGAAGCCAGCGCCAACCACAGTCGCAAAACGCCAGCGTTAAGTGCCAACCACCAGAGCCAACATTAGCGTCAATGGTCGCACCTGTCAGAATGTGATGTTTGTCTAGCCTACAGTGGGGTACTCTATAGCGAGTACAGCCCAGATTAGAGTTTGTTATATGTACTCAACCGCCTGCTAGTGAAAACCCCTCTTTCCTGTTTTTGATTCCTGCCTAGCTTTTTTGACATGCTATCAGAGCAGGTCGACCCTCCTGGGTCGATCCTATGGGTGGTCCCATCGATGCTTCCGCTGCTGTCCTGCCTATCGCACGCTCAGGGCGCGTGACGTTTTTTCTTCCCGCCGCGCGCTCGGGGCGCGCGGCGGTTTTCTGCCCCGTCGACCCGCGCGTCGCCCCCCGTCGCCCGTCGCGGAGCCCCCGGGGACCCGCGCGTCGCCCCCCGTCGCCCGACGCGGCCCGCGCGACCTGCGCCAGGCCCGCGCGCGGCCCGTACAGCCCGCGCGCGGCCCGGGCACCCCGCGCGCGGTTCGTCCGGCCTGCGCCAGGCCCGTGCGCGGCCCGTACAGTCTGCCCTAGTGCCGCACACCGTCCCCCGAGCTTCTGACCGGGCCCCACCCCCGTTGCTGCCCGCGCTCCTGTGTTAGGGTTTGGGGGTGGAGAGTATGGGGGTGCCGGGTGTGTGAGCCGTCCCCTGCTCCTCCTCCTCCGTCTCCCACTGCTGCAGCTGCCGCTGAGGGGGGTGGATGTGTTGGAGCCGTCGGAGTGGTACGAGGGGGGTGGCGTGTGAGCGGTGCTAGAGGTTTAACAAGGGGTGTGTGAAAGGGGTGTGGGACAGTTGGGGGAGGTTGACCGGAGGTAGCCGTTGTGACGTCAGCAGCGCCAGTAGTCCGGGGGTTGAGTACTCCGGTAGCCCAGCGAGCCTGCTGCGCCAGTCGCCCGTGGGTCCGTTGCTCCTGCCGCTGCTGCTTAGCGCGGAGCCAGTTACTCCTGTAGTCCGGAGGTTGAGTGCTCCGGTAGCCACCGTGCGCGCCGTTCCTGTTGCCCGTGTGTCTGCGGCTTCACCCGACGCCTCCTATCTCCACTCCTCTCACAGTCCCTCCTCCTCCTCACCTTCCTCTGTGACTGCCTCTAGCTTTGCTTGTATTTGTGAACCTACTGCTCTGCCTGCTTGCTGTGCTGATTATACCCCACTTTGACTATGGGGGTGTGTCAGAATGTGATGTTTGTCTAGCCTACAGTGAGATACTCTATAGCGAGTACAACCCAGATTAGGGTTTGCTATATGTACTCAACTGCCTGCTAGTGAAAACCCCTTTTTCCTGTTTCTCGTTTTCTTCCTAGTCTTTTGACAGCACCGGCCACTAGCCGCTAGAGTATGGAGTGCCTGCCCCCACTCTGCCTCGGCCTAACCAAGACTGTCGCTATGGGAGAAAGGTGCGGAGGGTGACGGCCAGAAGTCTGCAGCATCAAGCGCCACTGCTCTTCTCTCATTACCATGCCTGTTGCTGTGGGGGGGAGGCTGAGTGGTGGTTGCGTCTACGGGCTAGGCATGGGGTAGGGGTGATCATAGCATTCGTTTCTTATCCATTTGCTTGTGCTTGCACTTACTTGCTCATTCACGGGGAGATTTGGCAAGTGTTTGACTTCCAAAGTTCACAACAAAAGTTCAGAATGATAGCAATTGTAATGGCAAA